CTCTGGGCGGCCAGATCCTGCCTGGCTGCATCGGCACCTTGACCATCACTCTTGGTGAGGCTGGTCCCGGGGCCTAGGGGTTAAGGGCGCCATATTCCACGTGACTGCAGTTTGAAAAATACCCTGGACACGTGTGCGTGCGTGCCGAAATCCCAAGAGGAGAAGGGCCTACGGCGTGGCCATCCCCGCCGGGAGTGATCTCTCGCGTTCTGTCTCTCTCTGTCTTTCTGGAGAGCACACACACACCCTATGGCAAAATTTCTAAAAAAGCAAACAAACAAGGAAATGAACAGCGGTCCGAACGCCGGCCTGTCCCCCAGCCTCGGGGAGTGCCACCCTGCACCTGCTACCAGGGAGCCCGAGCCGAGGCCCTGACCGCAGTGTGCGACGCCCGTCACCAGGGGGCACCCCGTGGGACCCACTCACAGCAAGGCCCCGTGGTCCCAGCCAGACAGGAAGCAGAATGGTGCCCCGAGGGCTGGGGGGCTGGGCGGCGCCAGGGGGACAGTTTGGGTTGGGGAAGAGACGGGAGCTCTGCAGCTGGACGGGGGTGCCCACTGCCGCGGAGCTGGGCCCCGAACGGTGGTCAGAACTGAATTCCGCGTTAGGTAGATTTTATAAAATAGAGGGGCCGGCAGGGGGCGTGGTGGCTGAGGCCTGGACTCGCACATGGCCGACCGCAGTTTAAGTCCCCGACAAGGTGGCTTTCTTACTTCCACTCTCTGTCGTCAAATTAAAGAATAATAATAAATAAAAATTAAAGAATACAAGCATGAAACAAGGACAGTGGTGACCGGGTCACCAGCTCAGCCAGCTTGCTTCCCTGCTCTTAGCTCCGAGTGTCCTTCGGCAGGGCAGACGGCTGGGGGTCAGTCACCATGCAAGGGCTGATGACCGCGAGGCCGGGCTGCCCAACGACCTTCCGCAGGGCTCAGGGACGGGAAGCGACAATACACGGCTGGGCCTCGGGTCGCGAGGATGCGGGCTGGCCGTGTCTGGGGACACCTGTGGTCGTCACATCCGGCGTGGGGGTGCTCCTGGAATGGGGTGGGTGGAGTCAGAGACACCGCTCAGCACCCGCAGAGAACGACCCGGCCCCGGTGTCCACAGTGCCCAGGGAGGGGACCCCATGTTAATTATGGGGAGAAAAACGGAGTCTAGGGGCCAGGAGATGGTGTAATGGCTACGTCGCTGCACTCCCATGTAGCCGACAGTGGTTCAAGTCCTGGACCCGGTGGCTTAAACTCACACCATGTGCGTGCATGCCCAAGATCCCGAGAGGAGAATGGAGGAGAAGGGATTGCGGGGTGGCCATCCTCCCTGGGGGGGGGGGGGGTGATTGCTTGCTTTCTGTCTCTCTGTCTCTCTCTGTCTTTCTGGCGAGCGTACGCGCCCTATAGCGAAAACCTCTCCAAAATAAAAACAATCCATACTGAGCGGGATGAGGGAGAGCCACAGCCGAGGTCCCCTCGTCCACACCATCTGCCCATCAGGAATTGATCCTGGGGCCCGTGTGAGCAGCGAGCAGACTCTGTTTTTGTTTTTGTTTTGGGAGAGGTTTTTGTTATAGGGCATGTGCGCTCACCAGGAAGAGAGAGACAGAGAGACAGAAAGCAAGAAATCACCCCCCAGGGGGCATGGCCACGCCGCAATCCCTTCTCCTCCATTCTCCTCTCGGGATCTTGGGCACGCACGCACACGCGCCTGGCGTGAGTTTAAGCCACCGGGTCCGGGACTTGAACCACAGTCGACTACGTGGGAGTCCAGCAACATAGCCATTAGCCACCTGCTGGTGGACACTCAGTATAGACAGGACCTCAGGAGTAGAGGATTATGGGACGAAGGCCCGTGGGGGTCCGTGGACTGCCCTCACCAGTAGGGGCTCGCGGGGGGTGGTTTTGCCCCCAGAGGATGCTGGCTGATGCCAAGAGGCGCCTCAGCTGTCACGACTGGGGTGGAGCCGGGTCCTACTCGGCACCGCTGTGGCCGGGCGCCCACAGAGAACAGCTGACGTCAGCATGGTCTAAGGCAGGGACGGTTCCAGCCCTGTCCCCGAGGCGCCGCGGGTGCTGGCGCTCCTGCCGCCCCGTGGCTGGCACCTCTCCAGCCAAGTCATCCCCAGACCCTACCCGGGGCCTTCTTCCTTGGACCCTGAAGGGCCCTGGCCTTGGGGGCTCCTGGGTCTCCTCTGCGGACAGCGTGGAGGGGTGTCTGGGGTGCCTGGGGCCGAGGGCGGGGACCCACATGGCTCCTTCCCGGTGAGGAAGCTGGTCCCAGCGTGCCCCTGCTGGGAGGTCGTGGCCGCCGTGGACAGGTGTGTGGACACCATCTTCCATCAGGGCCAAGGCGCCCTGCCCCAGGGCTCCCCACGGACACCGGCCCCCAAGACTTCAGCCCTCACACCTCTCCCCAAAAGCCCAAACAGCTGCTCACACCTGCCCGGAGGAGGCCGAGGGGCCCCGGGGAGGGCTGCGGGGCCGGCCAGCCCCCCTTCGTCGTGGCCGCCGTGGACAGGTGTGTGGACACCATCTTCCATCAGGGCCAAGGCGCCCTGCCCCAGGGCTCCCCACGGACACCGGCCCCCAAGACTTCAGCCCTCACACCTCTCCCCAAAAGCCCAAACAGCTGCTCACACCTGCCCGGAGGAGGCCGAGGGGCCCCGGGGAGGGCTGCGGGGCCGGCCAGCCCCCCTTCCCCCTCGCCCTCGCTCTATCTCAGGCCCCCGCCCCCCGAGCATCTGTCACCCACATCAAGTAGCACTCAACTGCACCTTAATCAGCAGTCGCTCGGGCGACGCCCCAGGGCCCAGCAGGGCTCAGCCGCCACCTCTGAAGGACACCCGCGCCCGGCACTCCTGTCCTTCCGGGCCTCAAAGGCTGCCCCTTGGAGCCGACTGGGGCAGCCAGGGTCTGGGGAGCAGTGGGCTGAAGAGGATGGACAATGCTATGGGGGAGCCGGGGGCCCCAGAGAATGGCCTGTCTCCTCCCTGTCCCCAGGACACCACAGCCTCCAGGTCGGGGACACGGGCCAGCACTGTCCAGGAGAGCCAGCTGGGTGGGGTTGGGGCTCCCGAGAGGAGCCGCCTTGGGGGCTCAGTCACCCCATGGGACAGTGACCCTCCAATAGATAAGGGAGTATTCGAAATAGACAACCTCGGGGGCTAGGGAGCCCCAGGAGGTCTGGTGGGGAGGGGAGGGAGCCCCTGTCTCGTTCCTCCATTGAACCCCCACGGAGGGAGCCACCGCCGAGGCCACATCGCCCAGGACACGCATGCATTCTTGGGGTCCCCGGCCCAGTCTGGCGTCCCTGGCTCGGTCCCCTCTAGGACAGAACTCGGGACGCCCCGGCCCCCATAGGCTGAGCGGGCGACTGTGTGTCCGCGTCCTTGGGGGTTCGCTGCCCCCACTGTGCCGTGTGACTGTCTGCCGGCCGGGTGGGGGGAGACGGTTCTGGTACTTACTTTTCATTTTGTCTCACAACAGGGGGGTAAAGGTCTTGGGGGCTGGAGGAGCCGCGCAGGGTGGCGGCCTGGCTTTATAGCCGCAGCCGGTTATTAATAGCATGGGGTGTCCTGCGGGATGGACAGCCGCAGCTGGGGGTGGGCGGCCGGCCCGGCTGCACCTGCTCTGGGCCCTGCTGGGGTGAGGGCAGACATGCCGCTGACCGGAGCCCCTGGAATCCCGCTCGGCTCAAAGGGATCCTGGCGGACCGGACGTGGCCGTGGAGTTAAAGCTCCACAGGGCACCGGGGAGAAGGGGGCCCCAGTGGCCGCTCTGCCCCGAGGGTGGGGTCCCCGCCCATCAGCCCGCCTCACTGCATGAGTGCTTCCTGGCCTCCCTGGCAGGGGGTTCCCACTTCCTGCCAGCCCTGGGCCCCTTCCTGTTTATTTCTCTCTTCCGGGAGCAAGAGAGACAGAGATAGCGACAGAGACAGCGTGCCCAACAGGGTCCTGATGCCACCGTCTCTCCTAGTCTCAGCCCACGAGGGTGTGCCCCATGTGCTCAGGGGGTCTCTGGACACGGACCTGGGATCTTCTGTGGGGGTCGGCCTCACCACCGTCTGGCCCAAGCCCCGGAGCTGTTCAAACGGGCCGACCACCTCCTCCTGCGGGAACCAGGGGCACTGTGCCCAGTCACCGCAGTGCCTGCAGCCGTGGCTGCTCGCTCGGTCCAGGACGGTGCGGCCCTGCGGTGGGGGTCCTCCTGCAGCCGAGTCCCGGGAGTGACACACCTTGTCTCCTCATTGGGCCAGCGTTGGGTCGTCCCCGTGACCCTGGTCCTTAGCTGGGACTCCGGGGTGATGTGGAGGCGATTAAAACACAGGTCACTGGGACCAGCAAATGGAATAATGGTTGCGTTGCCGGACTCCTATGTAGGCGACCGTGGTTCGCGTCCCAGACCCGGCAGGTTAACACTCTTGTCAGGCACGTGTGCGTGCGTGCCCAAGATCCCGAGAGGAGAATGGAGGAGAAGGGATTGCGGTGTGGCCATCCCCCCTGGGGAGTGATTTCTCGCTTTCTGTCTCTCTGTCTCTGTGTCTCTCTGGTGAGTGCACGTGCTCTATAGCAAAAACCTCTAAAAAACACACACACAAGCCGCTGACCCAACAGCCCATGGGCCTTGCCCAGCCCAGGGCTCTCGGCTCCAGAACGTCCACACCTGGAGTTCCACCCAACCAGGCCCCCTGGGCTTCCCGTGGCCGCTCAGAGACCACCTGCCTTTCCCCTTCAGGGTTCAGAGCGATGGTGAGAGGAGAGGACCCGCTCGGGGAGGAGCCCAGCCCAGCGGGGGGCTGCACCGTGAGCCCCACTGCGCCTCCAGCCTCGGCCCCTGCGTTGTTTTCCTGGTCTAAAATCTTGCCAGATGGGGGGCGCCAGGTGGCGTGGTAGTAGGGGGCTCCGGGCTCCCACATGGCTGACCGCGGTTCGAGTCCCAGACCTGGCGGCGTGACTTCTCTCTCTCAAGGAACTTCCCTTGTCCCTCTCTGTCAAATAAAAATAAATAAAATAAAATAAAATAAAAATTTTTGCCGGATGGTCCATGCACTCACCAGACAGACAGAGCGAGAGCGCGAGGAAGCACACCCCATGCAGGACGGGACAATCCCCCCTCAGTCCCGTCTCCACCATCTCCCCCTCTCTCTGAGATCTGGGCACGCATGCACAGTGGCCGGCGTGTTTGTCAAGCCCCTAGGTCTGGGACTTGAACCACACAGCCGGCCTCCAGGGGTCTGGCTGCCTTAACCACCTGGGCGGGCGACCGATCGCTGTCCAGCCGCCGGCTAGCCGGCTTCAGTGCGCATGCTCACAGGGCCCTGCCAGCAGCACCGCCCCGCCCCGCCCTCCGCCGAGGGAGGCCCAGAAACCGCCGGGCTCTGCTGCCACCTAGTGGCTGTGCCCTCGCGCCGCTGCAACCGGAGGGCTGGGTCCTCCCCATCCATCAGTGGTCGGTCCATCAGTGGTCGGTCAACTCCCAGCCTGACAAAGGTGGCCCACACCTGTTCCTGTACAGAACTTGCTTTCATATTGTTTCGTTTTTTATTTATTTGATTTTATTTATTAACTAATTTTTAATTTGACGAAAGGGGGACAGAGAGAGGGAAAGTGAGGACGCAAGCTGCCCGGTCTGGGACTCGAACTGTGGTCGACCATGTGGGAGTCCAGTGCCTTCACCACCACGCCACCTGCCGGCCCCCCTTTTTGCATTTTCTCTTTTTTCATAACAGAGCATGTGTGTACGCATGTGAGAGACAGAGATAACGAGACCAGATGTGGGATTCTGAGCACTCACCCACTCCCAGCATGTTCCAGGCCTGCGGGGCTGGGTCTCGAACCGCCCATGTGGGCTCCCCTTCTCCTCGTTTATTTACCTTTTTAAGGTTTTGCTGTAGGGCGTGTGCACTTCCTGGAGACAGGGGGGGTAAGGTGAGAAAGCACCCCCTCCGGGGGAGGCCACACTGCAACCCCTCTCCTCCACCCTCCTCTCAGCATGTGCCCAGCATGAGCTCTCTCTGAGCTGGATTCACTCTGTATGTTTATTTTAACTTGACCAGAGAGGGACAGAGTGAGAGAGAGGGAAAGTGAACCATGGTCGCCATGCGGGAGTCCAGAGCCCCTAACCCATCTCGAGCCGCTGGGTCCAGGACTTAAACCGTGCCTGGCCCTGTGGACTGCAGCATCTCGCCCGCCACGCCACCCGCTCACCTAGCTTCCTCCTTCTCACATAAACTTTACACACATTTGTTATTATATCTTTACTTGAATCTGACCAGAGAGAGACGGAGGGAGAGTGAGAAGGCAAGCTGCCAGGTCTGGGACTCGAACTGTGCTCAGCCATGTGGGAGTCCACACCTCACCCACCACACCACCTGCCGGCCCCAGGTGGCCTTCTCTAGAGCAGCGTGCCACAGCTGCACCCTGGAGCCAGCCCCAGGTAGATCACGGCAGGACATGGGTGACTCCAAGGTGTCCCCTGCTGACGGTGAACACAGGCTGAGAAGTGGATGGGACTGGCTGGGGGAAAGCGAGCACGGGAGATGGGGCAGGAGGGGACCCGGTGTCTCCCACCTCCAAGGGTGGGGCGGGGACGCATCCTTTGAAATCCCAAGGAGACCTCCTCTGCGGCCTCCCCAGGGTCCTGTTGTCTCTGCAGAGGCCCCAGAATGGGACAGCTGGGGACAGTGACACCGGGCCCGCAGGGATGGCTGAGGGCAGCAGGAGGTAGGTCCGCACCTGGCCCGAGGACAGTGAGCCCCGGCGTGCACGGGGGAGGGCGTTGGGTCCTGGGACCCTCCCTGCTCGTCTGGCACTGCTGGGCCTGTTTGGAGCTTTATCTGCCAGGGGGCGTGTGCAGTCAGAGAGGGGTGTGGGCACGCCGCAGTCCAGTCCCCCTCGCCACCCTGTCGGGGCCTGGAGCACATGTCACACACAGCTGGCCCACGTAATTAGGCTACCGGGGCCAGGATTTGAACTGCAGGTGACCACGTGGGCCCTCGTTCCCTTATCCTCCAGGCCACCGAGGCAGGCCGGGGGCGGAGGGGAAAACAAGCCTCAGAGAACACCCGGGTGTCAGAGAAGTCGGGTTTATTTCCTTTGGCTGCAACAGCTGTCCCCAAGGGACCAAGGGGTGAGCGCGCGCACATAGCAGGCCCGGAGCGGGCGGGGCCGGACACTGTCCCAGACCCACGCTGAGCTCCCGCGCGGCCCCGAGAGGCGCCCGGCGACTCAGAGAACGGAATGCCGGCAGAGAACAGCTGAACCGATTTGTCACAGAGCAGCAGGGCCTGGCGCACCAGGGGACACTGGAGGTGCCAAACGCAGTGCCCTGTGGCCTCCTGCAGGCTATCCTGGAAGGAGCCGCCTGTGGCCGGCTCCCAGAGCCCTACAGGACCGGACACTAAGGCCCAGCAAGCACAGCCCAGAAGCATGTGGGCGGGGCTGTGTGCCCAGGACACCGGCTGGTGGCTTAGAACCCTGGTGGGGCTCTCAGGAAAGAGGTCAGGCGACAGGGGTTCTCTCCTTCCCAGGGCTCCCGGGCCATAAGGAGGCAGAGCTGGGAGCTTTTGCAGAGCCCAGAACCTGCCCTAGGCAGCCACCTCCTGGCTTGACGACTGCTCCAGCCCGGGGCCAGACAGAGGGCAGTGGGCCGGCTGGGTGGGAGGCCACCTCCGCCGCTAAGCAGTGGAGCCACATGCAGGCCCGCGGCAAGGAGGGCCTGGACTGCCAGCCGCCCGCCCCTCCCCCCAGTTCTGTGCACCTGGCAGGGCGTGGGGGTCCCTGCTTTAGACCGGGAACATGGAACCTGCCGCCTCTGCCATCCAGCCAGCCCTGGCCAGCTCTGTGACCACCACAGCCCTCAGAGCAAGGCCACGCTGCCCAGCAGCCAGCGTGGCCCCTGTGCAGGTGGGGCTGGGAGGACGCCGGTAGGACTGCTGTGGAGGTGGCCGGGCTGGGAGGGGGACCCCTGCAGGGTCCCCGGCCCTGGGTGCGCAGCCTGGGATCCAGCAGGGCTGGAGCCAGGGAGCCCCCGGGAGGCAGCCGCCCTAGCGGAGGCCACACCCCACTGCCTGCAGCTTCTCCTGCTCCATGGCCCGCACCAGGTCCTGCACGAAGCGCATCTCGGAGGCCACCTGCTTGGCCAGCGCCTCGTAGCGGTTCTCCAGGCGGCTGAGGCGGCGCCGCAGCCC